TCTATCTATCTATCTATCTATCTATCTATCTATCTATCTATCTATCTATCTATCTCTCTATCTATCTATCTATCTATCTATCTATCTATCCTCATACACGTTCATCACCATCTTTGAGGAACTGGAAAACATTGTCGAAACTGAGAAGTTTGATGAATCACTTCATACATGTTAAGGCTTCATCCACAACCAAACGTACGCTGTCAGGGTTTTCATCTTCTTATTCACTGTTTTTTTAATGTTTGCGAGGGCCTGTTGTATTTTGTTGGAAGTTTCTTTAGATAGCGCAATTTGTTATATCTCTGCGTAATTTCTTTGCATCTGGTGTGATTATGCAACCAATGTATTAAACGCTGCTGACCTGTTTCACCAGAGTGAAAGAGGCGAATGGTGACGAGGAATGACTTGTTTTATTCTTTAATCTTAGATTTGATATTGCATTCTGGCCTGTAATCATACATTCTGCCCTCTTTGCAATCAGTAACAGCCCATTCTCTTTGCATTTCTCTGTCACTTTAGTTAAAATCTCCTGGAGCTGTTAGAATCAGAATCAGCTATCAAGACTGTATCAGTACCGTAAGTTGTCTATGTACCGCCTACCTTGACCCCTTCTAGATCATATATGTTATGCAGTATAATTTTACTGTATAAATTAAAGATGTCTGGACTTTAAGCGCTAGGAAAAAAAACAAAAGCCGATAGATAAAAACAACTGAGGGAAAGTATCAGGATCTACTTGTGTTTAACTCCAAGTACCTGACGAAATAATGGCCGGAAGCAAACTCGTGGGGAAAAAATCAAGTTTATCTCGAAGTAAGTTCTACTTCACGTGATATAAACCCTCTTTCTGTAGATTTTAATCTTTAATTTTGAAGGCAATATTTAGACTTTGATATTTTGTGTATAACCTTCAGGTATAAAAATTATTTGCTTTGCCTTTTCAGATAATCGATGACATGCTTTTCACGATTGGCGGTTTTAATGGAGTTACCACCATCTTTAACGTGGAATGTTACGATTCTCAAGCAGATGAATGGTGAGTGGTCAGACAGACTGTAGTTTCCTAGGCCTTGAAGAAGTCGGTATTAAACGTTTAAAAAAAGTTATATTCGACATAGAAATGGCTTGCTCTCTCAGACTCTCACCTTACCAGTCCTATAATAAAATGCATTGAAAAGTCAATATTGTGGAAAATATGAAGACATCAAAGCTGCTGTGACAAAATATAGTTAAAATACCAACCTGCTCAGTTTCATGAAGTTGGCAAGTGTGGAGTTACAAGAGATGGACAGTGGCCATTGAACGAGATGGATTTTATGTTGAGTAACAGAAATCTGATCCTCATTTCCATCCAATTTAATTTAAGTTACTATAGTTGCAATTTGAATCGATTAGTATTAAGATTATAAACGAACTTGCAATGTTTGTAGACTCCCCCTCGTATACTGACATGCATTTGTCTCCTGTGACGAAATATTTGAAAGATCTAGGACTTGTGGTTTAGATCTACAGAACTGGATTGCGGGTCTCGATAACGTCACTTCCTTCAACACAGTCTTTCGCTTGTGACATAAATAAGTATCCCCACAAGGTTATTATGTTTATCGGTGGCGAACGCAATACTTCGGTCAATCTTTCCACTTATCCTTCGCTGTCTTTTTGACCTGTCTCTGTCTCTGCCTGTCCGTCTGTCTGTCTGTCTGTCTGTCTGTCTGTCTGTCTGTCTGTCTGTCTGTCTGTC